CCGTTTTATGATTGTCTGCTGAGATAGGACCATTCTTCTAGATCTAAAAGTATGATCCAATTAGCGCGAAGGAAACTTACAACAGTTGCAAAACAAACGTTCTGCTGAACGCACCCATTGTTTCATTTAAAAAGTTGAGAGCGGTTGAGAGTAGAAATTTGAAGGGAAATACAACGTGCATCGTCCATTTGGTGAAGTGTTGTGCGAAAATCTCGAGAGACTGGTTTAATTCTTGTGATAAAGTAAAAAGTGATAAAGTAAAAAAATGAAGTGAAAAAGTAAACGAAAATAACAAAGAAAACCGAGCAAGAAAGATTTCTTTTTGAGAGAATAGTTAACTTATATATTATAATTATATAGATTAGCAATTCTCTTGGAAGAGCACTTTGATCTTAGCTCTATTTCTCTATTTTTATAGATGCTGTATAACTCCAAAAAATTGTGAAAAAATAATTATATAAAATGAATAAAAGTAAACACGTATAGTGTGCAGTACCAGAATGCAAAAAAATTTAATTTAAAAGATCGTTATTTTTTTCGATTTCCAAAGGAACATGAGAAGTATGTTGTTTTCATCACTTTTTATATAAATCAATTTTCAATTTTAATACATTTTTATTGATAAAATATCATAATTTGTAGATGGTTGCAATGGGTACGAGCATGTGGAAGGCTGGACTTAAAACCAAAAGGTTAAGAACCAGAATATGCATACCAGAATTGTCAGTTGTGCCATTTGCATTTTGAAGAGAAATGGTACAAAATAAATAAAATGAGACTCACTTCACCCAGATGCCATACCGACAATATTTTTTGGACCAGATTGTGGAAAGTGAGTTTTTACTTATAATTTAATTTATTCTTTAGTGAATGTAAAGTGTGCTTTTATATAATAGGGATATAAAAGACAATGTAGTTGACTTAAAAAAAATTTTTAATTTATACTATGTAGTCGCTTTAATACGTGATAATGAGGAAAACAATATTTCATATTTCATATAATATTATGAATAATTTACGAAATCAGGAAATAAGTACTATCTATTTTCAGAGAAAACACAATTGGCAGTGTGCAATATCAGAAACACAATGGCATGGAAATTGAAGACGAAGCAGAAATAAATAAGTATGTTACATTCAAATATTTTATATTTAAGTATTTTTGTGTTCATACATACTTATATATTAATATATTTTATTTTCTAATGTTATGATATCATATATTTTTGTTACAGAAACATAGATGGAGAACTTGTGAATGAAACAACACAGGAAAAAAATAGGTAATAGATAATATTTTCTATTTTTAATAAGAGATTTAGTATGTAACGAAATTTTATATTTTTAGCAATATAGAATCTGCAGACACACTGCATAAACATCTGGAGAAGCATATGGAAATCGAAGCCGAAGCAGAAACAAATAAGTATGTTATATTCAAATACTTTGTATTTAAGTAATTTTTTCTATACATATGTATATTAATATATTCTATATATATATAAATATGATTTTATCTTGTAATGTTATGATATCATATATTTTTGTTGCAGAAATATATATGCAAATAAAATAACACGGGAAAAAACAGGAAATAGATAATATTTTCTATTTTCTATTTTTATATATGAGATTTAATGTGTAACAAAATTTTATACTTTCAGCAATATGGAATCTGCAGAAACACTGCCAATTATTGTTGATGATGTGGATGCTGAGATAGTTAAACCGTAAATCTTAATTTATTATAAATTACATTAAATCGAATGTAGATTTTTATCATCATATTTGTGTAGACTAATATTAATTTTCATCAAATTTTATTCATTTAACCCTGTAAGGTCCAGTACATAATTAAGTACATTCACTTTGAGCTTTTCCTAAATACTATTTCTATTGACATAGTAGTGACCCTGTCGGTATAATACTCTTAATTCACACTTACTAGTTGCAATTAGAATTGTCGTTTCAACTTAAAAAATAATATTCTCACTAAACAAGCCACTATGGTGATTGTTTGCACAGCAAATTCACTGACACTTGATTTTATGTAACATATTATTCATGAAAATATCTAAACAATTAGTAATTTCTTATTTTTTTCTTAAAGTACAAGATTGATTTTTCATGTTTATTATTAATGTAAATATTTAATTGTAATTCTGTAGTTGGAGTGTATATATAAATATAAATGTACATGATTATGTACCTTCAAAAGAACAATTTTATTTGATTCACAAAATTCTTTATAAGGAACATTTTTATAAAAAAAAATTTTACTCAAACAGAATCTATGTCTGGGCCTTAAAGAGTTCAAGAAACTATTAATGTTATTTTATATAAAATAAAGTTTGTACTAGAATATGCAACATATTGCACGTTAACATACCTTAACATAATACATTTTATTTCTTCATATAATTTTGTATTTTATTTAGTAATCTTTTACTATTTGTTTCTATTAGAATAATAAATCTTTTTTTCTCAATATATCTTATATAAATTTAAACTTGTTACAGAAGTACATCCAAGGATACAAAACAGGACATGAAATCGTCGGAGGATAGCTCAAGGAAAAAGAAGCTGCGCTTGAAGATTACAAAATTGAAGGCACAAAATAAAACGTTCCGCGAAACAATCCGACGATTCCGTTTGAAAGAAAAGAAGAAGAACATACAAGCCAAAGAAGAAACTAATGAACAAAAAACTTTACAAAAATTAGGCCGTAAGTTATTATCACAGAGTTTTAATAAAATATTAGCGACACAAATTAATGCACAATGTAAAAACAAACGTGGCAGAAGATACGATCATGATTTAAAAAAATTCGCTTTGTCATGTATTTTTTAAGTCTAAGAAATTATAGAGAATTGAAAAAAACAATTGCATTATCTTCAGTACGTTCTCTACAATTATTTACATAAACGTGGGACATTGTGCCTGGCATTAATGACGAACTTTTTAAAGCACTTAAAGTAAAATTGAATACTTTACCTTTAATGGAGCTCCATTGCGTATTATGCGCAGATAAAATAAGCTTGAAAAGCTTTTTATTTTATGATGTATCGCGAGATGAGATAATTGGTTTTGAAGATTTTGGTGATAGGAAAACATCCGTACCCGCAAAAAGTGCATTAGTTATAATGGCACTTAGCATTGCAGGAAACTGGAAAAAGCCCGTTTGTTTTTGCTTTATAGAAACTGCATGTCCTGCTACATTTTTAAAAAATATTATATTCGACATCATTATCAAATTAAAAAACAATCGTGCTTTGGTGCATGCTTTTATTTCTGATATGGGTTCAAATTTTATCCAACTATTCCATATGTTGAATATTTCGATAGACAATTCAAGTTTTGTAGTTGATGGAGAAAGTATTGTATACATCTTTGACATTCCACATTTATTAAAAGCAACTCGAAACAATTTATTAAAATACAATTTTTAAATAGATAATAAAATAGCTTCGTGAGCTCATATCGTAGAATTTTACAAAAGAGACAGCAAACAATGGATAAAAACAACTCCTGCTTTAACAAATTCTCATATTGAACCGAATAACTTTTTAAGGATAAAAGTTAAATATGCTGCATAAATATTTAGTAACCATGTAGCAGCAGGCATGTGCACACAGATGTCTTCTGGTTTTCTTGCAACTGAAACAGTTGGAACTATAGACTTGATCAATCATTTTGATAAATTATTTGATATATTAAATTCATCCGATGTAAATAATCCTAAAGAATATGGAAAAGTTTTTATTGGAAGTAATAGACAAATGCAATTTTTACAAGACATGTTGAATTTCTTAAA